TTTTTTTCTTTAGGGTCCACCCAACAAATTGTAGTTTTCATTGTTTGGTAATTATCGGTTATCTGTTAACTGTTTGCATTAACTGTTTTGACTAGCACATTGTATTAACTGTTTTGACTGTTGATTGTGTTAGTGGTTTGCAAATGAGCGTTTGGTGATATTAGTTATTTTTAATTAGTTATTAACATGTAAAATTACTTATAAGGACATCAACATATTTTATCATTCTTATTTAAATTGGGCTTATATTTATTGAAGAAATAAAAATAATTAGTATTTTTTAAATGTTTATTAAAGTGATTTAAAATAAAAATATAGATAATGATGAAATAAAAAGGATTCTTAATCAAGTAAATAAGTTCATGTCATATAAACGAAGCCAATAATAAGTCATCACTAATTAAAAAGATAAATATGAGTCAATTGCAATATTTGTTATTACAATTGAAAAAAAAAAAGAAAAGAAAAAAAAAAGAGACTAATGCTCTAACCAGTTTTTCAGTTGCTATTTTTCAGAAACATACGAGAAAAATAAATGTAAGAGTAGGGTTTTTTCCTCTATAGCTTTTCTAATTTCATAAAGGTTGCAAGCAAAAAAGGAGAAATAAGAAGGGCAATTATGACTTTACATTTATTGACTCAAAAGCCAAAGTGCAAAACGCTCCAGATCTCAACGTTTTCTTTGTTAGCGATTGGAGCAAAAAAAGTATGATCTTAAAAGCTAACTAGTACGTGACCCGTGCGATGCACGGAAAAACAATATTACGATTGTGTTATAAATTTAATATACAAATAAATTAATCAAGATTTATCCATCGTTTTAAAATTAAACCGTGTTGAACACAGTACGACCGCATAAACCGAGAACCAGTTTATAATCAGTCTAGTTCACTTGAATAAAATATTAGCTATTGAATCAATCAACACCAGTCGATTGAACTGGTAGGATCGATACGATCTTCTAAATAAGTTTCGCTATATTTAAAACCATTTTAAATAAAATTAAATAAAATAGAGCTTTATAAATTGTTTATCAATTAATTTAAACATTTGAATTTTTAAATTGTTTAGATATTTAAGTAAAACATTTCATTCAAATTTATTAC